TAGGGATACCTGCATAGGTTCTTTTTTTTTTTTTAAGATTTTATTTATTTATTTCACAGAGAGAGAGATAGCGAGGGCAGGAACACAAGCAATGGGAGCAGGAGAGGGAGAAGCAGGCTTCCCGCGGAGCAGGGAGCCCGATGTGGGGCTCGATCCCAGGACCCTGGGACCATGACCTGAGCCGAAGGCAGACAGATGCTTAACTGAGCCACCCAGGCGCCCACAGGGATAGGTTCTAAAGCAATAAAGAAGCAAGGAAATAATTACCCTAAAAGAACACTGATTTCCTCTAGAGAGGAGGGAAGTAGTGGTGGTGGGGTATCGGCACATGGGACCTTATGGGATACCAATTCTTGAGCAGGGTCATGGTGACAAGAATACCTGTATTCTCTATGGGTAAGTAGACATCATGGGAAATAATTCAGCTTAAACTCATTAGCAGGTACACTACCTAAGAAGGCTGACTTTTGGAGTAGGATATGAGAGGCAGAAGAGGTTACAGTTAAATCTCCTGTGTCAGCACATTATGCTGTCCAGGGAGAATTCACATATAAGTAAGTCTCCACAAGAAAGTCACCATTCAGATTCCTCCTGCACACTGGGGTGAACAAGGTGAGTCTGTGTGCCCCAGAGAAGCAGAGACCACCAACAAGGGACAATTGTAGTCATGTCTCCAGTAAAGCTGGAGATGTCTCCAGTAACTGGAGATTTTTCTTCAGTGAAGACTTAGGCTTGAGGAAAGGAGGGGGTCTTAAGTTTGAAAACATTAGAGGACTTGTGGTGAGAAACACAGGCTTGGAAAAGGGGGAGGAGATGAGTCAAAGGGGAAGGAAAAATAAAAGAAGAGATCACCTCTTTTCCAGTTCAGGTCCCTTGAGTCACAAGCCTGTCCAGGAATGGGAATGAAGTAGCTTTGAATCAGATGATACTGGAGTTTTAAAGTAGATGTTAAGACTGGATTTTTTTTTTTTAAAGATTTTATTTATTTGACAGAGACACAGAGAGAGAGGGAACACAAGCAGGGGGAGTGGGAGAGGGAGAAGCAGGCTTCCCGCGGAGCAGGGAGCCCGATGCGGGGCTCGATCCCAGGACCCTGGGACCATGACCTGAGCCAAAGGCAGACGCTTAACGACTCAGCCACCCAGGTACCCCAAGACTGGATTTTTAATGAATGAAAATGATCAGAAGTTGAGGGATCTAGAACTCAGCAAGATAAAGTCAATAATATAAAGGTAGGCACAGAACTTGGGGAAAAACAAAGTCTGTTCATATTTGTGCTCTACCACCTCAGACTATTCAAAGGTTGTGTGTGTGTGCTTTTCAGATTTATTTATTTATTTATTTTAGAGAGAAAGAGAGAGAGAGAGAGAGCATAATTGAGAGGGGCAGAGGGAGAAGGAGAGAGAATCTCAAGCCAACTCTGTACTGAGTGCAGAGTTCCATATGGGGCTCGATCTCACGACCCTGAGACCAGCACCTGAGACCAAACCAAGAGTTGGATGCTTAACCCACTGCGCCACCCAGGTGCCCCGGGTTTTTTTTCTAATTAAGAAGAAATAACGTATGAAGCGGAGAATTCTCACACCCAGACCTAAAATAAAATTGTTTTACCTATTTGAAAAATCAACTTCTTAAAAAAATAAATAAAATATCAACTTCTTGGATTAATCTATCCATTGAACAAATATCTGAATGCCTACTTGGGCCTGGAAGGATATATGACACTGTCCTAGGCATATGAATACAGTAGCAAACAACTAAAATTCCTGCCTTCTTAGAGCCTACATTCTAGTAAAGCTTATATTCTAGTAACTTAAAATAACTTATACAGTGGGGAATATTTGAGTGTCTAACATCTGTGCATAAAATCTGGGTGAATGCATAGATTTAGGGAAAAATTATGGAATCTTGGCACACTATCATCTATATTAGCTCTTTAATCTTGGAATCATTCCCTTATGCTTAATAATTTCCCCAAGAAATTTGTGGGATTATTTCCCCATCTCCATTTGACAGATAAGAAAGCTAAGGCTAAAGAGAGAAAGTGACTTGCTGAGGGTCACATAACTACCTAAGGGTTTGATATAATAAAAACAGATTTCTTTGCCTCCAAATGCTGTGTTCTTTCCACCAGGCCAAGAAGCCCCTTAAGACAGAGATTGTAACAATACTCCCATCAGTGAGTGGGTCTGGGATTAGTCTTGCTGCCAAGGACACCCAAATCAGTAAGAGGACATGTAGGCGTTTCCATATTAGATGTCTACAAACCCTACCACACAAAGCCCTAAAACTGAGGTTTTGCCTTAATTTGCCTGCCTAGGCTCTAGGTTCACCTGCCCTACGCCCTAGGCGGCAACACAGGATAGATTTGTTTGGGGATGGGAAAACTGATGGAGACAATGTTGAGCTCATTCTGGGAAACGAGGGTAAGGGCTTATGGCCACCAACTTCTAGCTGAGAAACGAACATCAAGAGCATCAGACCACATGACAGAAAAATAAGTAAATGTAAGATCTGAGAAGCTAAGTAAAAACCCTATAATCCTGAATTTGAATTGAAAAAATGAATATGAATTTATAACATATTTTATCTTAGGAAACTATTTCCTAGCTGTATCTATTGAAAAGGCCTAGAAACAATGACAGTAGCAATGAACACCCCTAGCATAAAATTGTGATCTTTAAATATCATTTCCCATCAAAAGGAACTAGGTATCCTTGGAAAAGTAGCTGATTTCCGTTGATCTGGGGTATGAAATGTACAAATAAATCCTGATAAATATGAGGAAAGAATCAAAGTTTACTTTGCTTTTCTCATACAAACTGTATACTCAGGTAACAAATGTTTGGTAATTGAAAGTTTCTCTTTCTAGAAGTATTAAGCTAATAAAAAAAAAGAAATGATAAAGTTAGAATACCACCATTTTATAATCTCTAATGAGTATGTATACCTAGTCAACAACCATCCATGGCTGCTCACATCACAAAAAGAGAGAACATCCAGACATTTTTTGCCTCCTGATAGAAGCACATAAAACCATTCACAAAGTATTCTTGCCAGAATATTGACCCTAAAACTAATCAACTTCTTGACCTAACCACCAATTTCTAAGAAATCCAGGGAACAGGGAGCGTCTTAAATGACACCACAGGGAAACAATCAGCAAATTACAGATGGTTAGACACTACAGGACAAATAACCCAGTTTCATCAGTAAATTCATTGCAAGGAGAAAAAGACAGAGGGAGATCTATAGATTAAAGGGTTCCCCAACGGATACAGCAACAAACTGTAACATATGAATTTTATTTGGATGATGATTCGATTCAAACAATCTAAAAGAATTATGAGACAGTCTCTGAAATAGTTAAACATAGAGTGGGCATATGATCAAGCAATTCCACTCCTAAGTATATGCTAAGAGAAATAAAAAGATATGTTCACCTAAAAAACCTTCACATGAATGTTCATAAAGGCATTATTCATAATAGCCCCAAAGTAGAAACAACCCCAAATGTCCATCAACAGATAACTGGATATATAAAATGTATATCTTTACAATGGTATATTCAGCAATAAAAAAAAATAAAATACTGATATATGCTACACATGAAGCTTGAAAGTATTATGTTTTGTGAAAGAAGCCAATTACAAAGGACTATACATGTTGTATGACCTCATTTATATGAAATGTCCAGAATAAGCACCTCTCTTAAACCAAAAGTAGATTAGTGGTTGTCTAAGGCTGAGGTCAGAGGTCAGAGTAGTTGGAGTGACAGCAAAAGGGAGTGGGATTTCTTTTGAGCGTAATGAAAATGTACTGAAATTGACTGTGGTGATGGTTGCACAACCCTGTGATATTACAAGCCACTGAATTGTACACTTTAAACGGTGAATTGTATGGTATGTGACTTATAACTCAACAAAGCTGTTGGGGGAACATGGCCGGTTCAGTCAGTAGAGCATGTGACTCTTGATCTTGGGGTCATGGGTTGAGTCCCACCCTGGGTGTGGAGATTACTTAAAAAAAAAAAAAAGTTTAAAGAAAGCCACAAAGCTGTTTTAAAAAAAAAAAAAAACAGATAAAGCTACCAGGAAGAAAAAAAAAAGAGACAACCAGGCAAATCTGACTACTGACTGGGTATTTATTTGACGGTATTAAATAGTGATAATAGTTTTGTCAGGTTTTTTTTTAAGGGTTCTTATTTTTTAGAGACAAATAGTGACATATCTACAGATGAAAGGATACATTTGGGATTTGCTTCAAAATAATGGGAAGGTCTGCTGTGGGAGGAGGGAAAATGAAACCAGATTGGTCACGAGCTGGTTACAAGATGGGTGATGAGTACAAAGGGATTCATTAAGTTATTCTTTTGTATATGTTTGAACGTTTCCGAAATAAAAGGGCTAAAAGCCACAAGACAAGAATCTTTATCAGGCTACCCCTGACTCACTGTAGAAACCCCTCTTTCTTCCGGGTCTCCTGATGAAAATTAAGGAAGAAAACAGCTATATTTCATACCATTCTTGTGAGGAAAGTAAAGAGATGTGTAAGGTACCCTAGCAAGGGACAGGGCTCCATTTTGTCCAAGGCCAGACAGTCCCAAAGGCAATGCAAAAGAAAATATGCTCATCACACACAAAGGGGCTACGAAACCCGACTTTGGACAGTAAGGACCCCAGAGCTATGGAAAGAAGAACCCACAATAGTAATCAGTCTTTCTCTCTATAATTAATAGCCCCTACAGCAAAGTAAGATATTTGCAATTCAAACAGCCTTGCAATTAGGCGCCAAAGGATATTCAAGTGACCAAAGATAAAAATTTAGAGTGGGAGGAGACACACCAAGAGCTTCGTTCCACTCCCATCGGTTTATCCGGTATGCCCCTTCTTATCAATCCCTCTCCCACACGTTCCATCCCCAAAGCTGAAACTGGACGCGGAGGCAGAAAGGAGGATGAACATCCGGATCCCCCAAAGGAAGAGGGTTTAAAAACAGACCATCTGATAATGAGAAGCCGACTGCCTCCTCTCGGATTTTCACCTTACCCGACTCAATAGCAGCGGCTTCCGCCAGACAGATCGTTTGGATGGGGGCGGGGCGAAGGAGAGTGAGGGGGCGGGGCTACAAGGTACATGAGCCAATAGGCGATGACCCGGAGGTTCACGTCCAGCCCAGCGAGAAACTTCAGAGGTCCAGAGACTTTTGGGACCTCATCTCTTCCCACTCACCAGGCCCATCCTCAGAGTCCCAGCCGCCAATGGTTGGGATGTCTGCTTTTTCCACAAAGTTACGCAGAGGCAGCCACCCTATGGCAGCTAAGCAATCCAAGATACTGAGATCTCTGAGCATTTAAGGGAAACCCATTCCTTGGATCTTCTGGAATCCCAACCACCTCCAGCCACAGCTCTCATTCCCAGTCGCTAACTGACTGATCCCGTCTCCTTTTGGGAAGTACTTCAGCTCAGTTGTGTAGTTGCCCCTCCCACAAGTTCTGAGAGACCCACTCAGTCATCACCCACTAGGCAAATTCATTTGATTTAGCCCTGCAGTAAAACCTGCCATGTCTCCCACCACACAGATATGGGGCCCTGGCGGGCTTAGCAATATAGTTTGGTAGTTCTCTAAACTGGTTGTGTGTCGATTCACAGTCTTGGAACCTCTTTTCAAAAATAATTTTTAGATTCATCATAGGATTACCATGTCCCATTAGCAAGTGCATTAATATTCTTTCCATCCTTGCTGAAGCCACCATTTCCCAGGTTTGTCTTGGCTAAAGGCCAATCCCCAGATAAAGCAAGGCTAGTAATAGAGCATCTGAATTTGCCGTGGCAAATTCCTCCCAGGGCAGGAACTCTGGGCTGGACATCTGGCTCTCAAAAGAAAGAACTTCTGGGGAAAAGACATTTATAGAAAAAAAAAATCTGCTGACACCCAGTACTTGGAGTCCCAGTAGGCTGATTTCTTGACCAAGAGCATTACTCCTCCAGCTCCCTTACAGGAGCTGGACAGACCAGTCAAGAGGCAGATTTGTTAGGCATTACTGACAGTGTATATGATGGGCATATATATACTGAGGAAGGGGATAGGAAAACATAGTAACAGTGGTAACCAGGAAGGATGGAGTCTGGGAGGGGGTTGCAAAGCCAGGCCCCATGAGTCCACCAAACAAGGCCTCTACTCTTGGGAGTAAAAGTAGTTTGAGTCTGGGGACATCAACAGTTGAAAATTGGTATTAAGAGTTGCCTATTACGCTGTTTCAAGGAATGTGTAATGTCAAATGAATGAAGTCAGGCAATCACACAACAGGTTGACCAGCAACTTGATTATCACTTTACAGGATTTCTTCCTTTTGGATGTCTTCAATGGGTGTTGGCTGGATTAAGGGTAAGGATTTGGAGGATGTCACAGGCTTGCCCTGGCTTGTGGAGCTAAAGGAAATCCTTTGGGTGAGGCAGTATACAAAGTATGTGGGGATGGAGAGGATGACAATGAGAAAAAGGGCAATCATTGCAAGCAGCCCCCATGATGGGTATTGTCGAAGCACCTCTTTTGACTGTGGAAAGATGGGAAAGGGACTCAGGACGTCAAAGTTCCCAGAAAAGGAAGGACTGTAGAAGGGAAGGGTGGAAGGGGAACCAGGGCAGAGGATTAATGAGTCTTTAGGGAGTCAGGGAATGAGATGATAGGGTCTTTAGGCCATGGGTGGATTGAAAGATCCAGCCCCCACTCCCTAGGAAGGTCTGGTGTCTGGGGAGGGAGGCTCACACTGTTTGAGTCCCAGGCCACATAGGTGATAGTCTTCAGAGAGAGATGAATCAGAGTAATCACAAACAGGGCTAGCAGCACAACTGGAGACAGAAAGCACCACAGCCAACGAATGATGGGAGAAGCTGGGGGTCCCCACATGATCGCCAAGTCTTCAAGGAACCTGGGAGGAAGGGCCACAAGACTGTGGGAGGCCTAGTCAGGCCTCACCCAGCCTTGGGGGTCAAGGCCAGCCCGACCTTAGCATCTTTCAAATATTCTACTTCACCTCCAAACCTCTGCCTCAGCTCAAGCCTCATCCTCTCTTATCTGCTCCCTAGTCAGTCTTGCATCCCAACCCAAGAAAAAAATTTCAAACATCTCTCTACTGCTCAAAACCTTTCATGGGTACCCAATGCCCTCAGGATAAAGGCCCAGTCCTTTCATTCATTCCATGAATATGAAAGTGTTTAAGATGTGCGAGGGACTCTTCTGCATGCTGGGTATCCATACTGAACAACGCAGACTGAAAAAGAAGGTAACACTTGACCCTCAGGGAACTTTTCTGTTTCTTCTAGCCCATGGATCCAGCCTCCTCTACTGCATGTTCTCAATCACAATAAATATCTAAGTGGGTCCTTTGGCCTAGAATGCCATTCTCTTTGTCTACCTATTCAACTGTCTGGACAATGCTCAGCCACTTTCTCCTTTAGGATGCCTTCTCAGTCTTTCCAGGTGCCCCTAGAGAGCCCCCTGGCTACCTCGACTATAGATTTACCACCTGGATTGGGATTATCTGCTTATATATGTCTTCCTCTTTGGTCTCTGTTTTTTGAGAGGAGGAGCTCACTCTAATTTATTTGTATCCCAGTAACGACAAGGCTTTCTCAACACAGAGAAAGCCTCAAGAAAATTTTTTGAATGAGTAGACCACTCTCACCTGAAAATGCTGCCACCTGAGCCTTCTGCTTCTGAATTATGCCACTTGGATGTCCACACTAGCCCATTAAAAAGTCAGGCTCAGGAGTCCTTTGTGTTTGATTTGGATTTTCCCACTCTTCCTTGCACAGTTATGTCTACTAAGTCCCAGTCTCTGATTATCTTGTTCCCTCTTCCCTGGTGGCTTTTCCTTGCAGCATTAGAGGACATCTCTCAACCTACACTTCTACCCCCCTAGCCCAAGCCATTGTTAGCTCTTACTTGGAATATTACAATAGCACCTAACTGTTCTCCTTGCTTCACTCTTGACTCCTCAGAGTCTATTCTCCACACAGCAGCCATACATATTTTAAAAAATAAATCTGATGATGCCACTCTCCTACTCAAAACCTTCCAAAGCCTCCTCCTCCTCTCAAGTTCTGCATAAAAAGCTAAGTCCTGCAATGGCTTGGAAGGTCCTACATGATCTCTTGTTATCTCTCTGGCTTCATCTACCAACATTCTACTCCAACCTGATCTCTTTATTCCTCAAAAATTCCAGGCATGATGCTTCCTCTTGCCTTCGTACTTAAGTGTTTCCTCTGCTTGGAACACTTCCTCCAAATCTGTCATGGCTCCTTCCTTCTAACCCTAACCCTAACCCTTCATTCAGGAGTCTGCTCAAATGTCACCTTATCAGAGAGGCCTTCCCTGCAATCCTAACTAAATTAACACCCATGCATAATCACATTCTTGATCATCTTACTTTACCTTTTGATTTTGTCCTGCCAATTATCAGCACCTGACATTTTTATACGTTCATCTGGTTATTGCCTGTCATTACCACTAGAATGTAAATTCCTTGAGGACAGGGATGCTTGTTTTATTCAATAACCTTGGTGAGTAAAACAGTGCCTGGCACATAATAAGCACTCAATAAATATGGTAAGTGAATGAACACGTTTTTCAGAAGCTCCTGAGGTTAAGAGTTCCTACGTCACTCTAGCTGGGTGATGACAGAGGCAACAAGAAAGGGGTCAAACTTCCCTATAGACCCAAGCTATGACCTCCTGGGCCCACAGCTATGTTTTCAAGTATGATGATGATGGTTATAGGGAGGACCGTCCAGTATTCACTCAGCAGTCTGATGCAGTAGATGCCTGAGGGTCAAGTGAAGAAGAGGCCACACAGGAACATGAGAACAAAGACAACCACTGGAGGAAACATAGGATCTAGATCAAGGTCAGAGGTCTGGTTGGGTGACAAGGGCTAAGCAGAGGTTATAGACCTGGGCTGGGTAAGAGTCTCAGAGAAGTCAGGGCCATTGGTGGGAATAGGGCGTTGGTCAGAGTACCTGTAAGCAGCTTTGTATGCTTCCTGAAAGAAGAAAAGGTGTCCTGGAGTGGGGTAAGGATGCCCTGCATGATCCCTATCATGCTGCTCAGCCCCAATGTCAGCAAAAGCAGGAAGAAGAGGATGGATCAGAAGACAGACTCAGGAATGAATGACATGGTTTCAATGAAGGCTACAAGTGCAAAGCTTGGGCCCGCCTTAACCTGTTGAGGGGAGAGAGGGCAGGAGTTAAAGTGTCCTTGAACTTAACAAAAAAAAATACAGACAAGGATACTATCTTCCCTGGAAAACTCTAAAATCTGTGGGTCACTGAGAAAATTAGATCTACAGGCTGACCCTCTGATAAAAAAAACCAATCCACCTAGCATTATCCACAGATGGGCATTCTGCAAGCTATAGTTCTTTGCATTACCAGGGCTGCAGGTTATCCTAGTGTTTCTTGGATTCTTTTCTGGTGCTAAAAAAAGCTAAAATTTGTTTCACTGAAGGCTTTGAGTAACTCTAGACTGTCCTCACCTATTTTTTACTGACCTTCAAAAACTGCTTCTCTAAGTTGCATTCAGTCACGGAGCTGACGACCATGTTCTTGATGGGCTAGGGAAGGCTGCTGAGCCAGGACTTGAAGAGGGAGATCTTCAAGTTTGGAGGGGGCTGGGCCTCAACAGGCAGTTTCCCCAGGGTTACCAGCTTCGCTAGTGTTTCAGCATTCCTGGGGATGAGGAGTTGAATCACACAGAACAATTTGGCTCCTCTTATTTCTAGATAAGAAAGTACACCACTAACCTAGCACTACTGATCTAGGTAAGGTAGAGGCTGAGATAAAACCTAGAAGGTACCCACCTCCAGGATCATGAATTTGTGTGAGCCTGGAGAACTTAGGACCATGAAGGAACCCCCGGAGAAGTGTTTTATTTCGTCTTTGTGGGCACTCTGCAGTACATGCTGCAGTGATGGGGTCTCTTATTCACCACCTACCTCTTCCCTTCCTCTCTTCTTAGACTAGTAGGTAAAAGACAGTCTTCTA